AATAATTCAGAACGATCACTACAGCTATCAGGCTCTTTGAGTAAAAAAGAAAAATCCACTAAATAATACAAAACTTGATAACTTCAAATACTAACTGCATACTTAGTCAATCAGAAGACTCCAGGCTGCTCCGCAACCAGCACAATTAATGAAGCTCACATTTTTAAAAAGCCTGGCTTTTGTACCTTTAATATACATGAACTGTATTTTATTTCCTTTCTCGAGCTCCCAATTGCCATGACATACAGGAGCTTTGTGGCTTCAAGGTCACATTACCTGTTTCAAATCTAAAACCACTGAATAAAAAAATCTGACAAAAAGCAACTGTCCAGACAACATGTTACCTAAGCCTTGTTTCCACAGGAAACCAGGCTGCAAAGAACATTAACCACTACAGCCAGAATGAACGAGCCTTACACTCTGTTCTTACTATGCTATAATATTCAACACAGAAAGTCTAAGGAAGCCTCTGGGCACAAAAGTTCTAAGTCAAAAAACCCTGGGAGGAACTCCAAGAGTTTTGCATGAAAAGCTCATGGACTGAGCTTCCCAGCAGGGAAAATACAATTATCAGGGAGCACCAAGAGCCAACTGCTGCTCCAGAGCAGAGGAGCTGGCAGGGTTTACAGGGCAACAGCCTCACCACCGAGATAGGCAGTCCCACAGTACCTGGACAAGAAGAGAAGGTTGGGTGAGAGCAACCAGGGTCAACCACAGTTGAGGCAGGAATGAGGTCAAGTCAGCAGGACTACGCAAGCAGCAAGGACGTGAGCTCCAGTACAGCCCCAAGGCAAACAGAAGCTTCAAAGCAGGCTTCTCCCAGCTCTGCTTCACCACCCAAACACCTGCACACAGTCAGGGCTGGCCTCCAGCACAGGCAGCCCAAATCACTGGAGCAGGGCTGGGGAGTGCTCAAACAATCCAAGTTCAACAAGATTAATCAGCTGTTGGAAATTACAAATCAGAATCAGGTGCTTTAGCTCATCTAAATAAGAAGCCTAAGCCAAAGCATCATCACACTAAAGAACACCTTTGCTTTGGAGTTTTGTAGTTAGTAAGTACTGAGAGAAATAAAACCTATCGAGTCTGGAGCTGGTCGATGTTCTGAGGCATTCTGTACCTGTCTCCATTTCCTGAACTAGAGTTTCCTAATTTAAAAACCTTTAAATCATTTTCATGGATATTACTTCTGAGCACTCCATAGTGCAAAATGATTACAAAACACCAAAAAATGATGAATGCTTCTTTTTTAGCAGCTAGCAGGCTGCTGTGTTTATGGAGGAAAGCATTCATAATGTAAAGCACTGTAGAAAAAGAATTTGTTCGTATCATGCCCCCTGTCGTATGCTTTTCCAGCATCTTTGAGTTATGGTGAATTCAAGAACCAATTTGAAGTAGTCAACATTTAACAATCAACCCGAATATAGGTCTATGGCACCCTCTTGTGTTCAACGATAATATAACTGTTTATTTGATTTTGAATCTTTCTAGATTCAACGTGGTGTTATTCAGGAAAAACCTGTTGGAAACAAATTCATCCATTAAGTTATGATGAATATTTTTCTATTAATCTAATACTCTGATTGAGCTACCTCTATTTTATGATGAAGATCACAGATGCAACGTTAAACAGCTAAGAATTTCATTCCAGATAGAACCGAGTAAAGGATTAAACTAATACCTGATATATATAAATTCTATTCTGTAATGATGTAGCGTGTCGCAAGAATCTGCCGGACATAAGTCTTACATTAAAACACACGAAAGAAATTGAAAATCAAGAAGTAGAAACACAAACATGTCAATGAACATGATTAGTAGACCAAGGACAAACGTGGCTGTATCATTAGAGAGACAAACTGAGATTATCCTAATTAGATTGATTCCCAGCTAACAAACATCCCCATGACTTAGTGAGGTGCTTAAGGATATCCTATGTCTCAGATTCTTATCTATGAGTGGAGATACTTAAGCTCCTTGGTATGGAGAGTGACTTCATTACTAATTTGAATATGCTCAGATACCTCAAGCACATGGTAGAGGATACACACGATCAGAAGTCAAAATGCTGATTCACTCTTTACAGCTGTATTAATTTCTTACACTTGTCCTCTTCTGTTCTAAGCCACAATATTACTCCTCGATATTAGGAAAAAAGGAAACACGCTCACAAGCAAATTCCTGAATGAGCCTAATACAACAAAGGTAAGCACAGGGAGAAGAAAAGGTAAGGAAAAATAGGACAAAAGCTGATGACTTTCTTGAGCTAGTGACATTAATATTTACACACCTATTACTAAGAGAGAAAAACAGATGTTTAGTATGATTGATACTCTAGTCTGCTTTACTTTCCATTTCTACATACAAAAATCTCTTTATTCAATGAGATGCACAGATATAACAACTCCAAATAGTTCTCTGATTAACCCTCAAATCCATCTCTGTACATGTAGTTTAATCATTCTGTTGTTCACCACTTTCCAAGAGAAACATCTGGCTGGGGTCCTCTCAAATTTCAAATGTAAAGCAATTTGGATATCTAAAATTGTTCCAATAAAATGCAGGAGTATTACAAAACCATTTAAGATGAATTGTTACCAAAAGCCCTCCCTCTCCCAATCAGAAAAGACTTGGGAATTGCTACCAATGGGAACATCAAACCTGACAAGACAACCAGAAACAAAACAAGATTTATTCTGTACCAAACCCTCAAATGAAAGTGATTCTTTTAAAGGTCGTGTACTGGTTTGGCTGGGATAGAGTTAATTTTTTTCATAGTAGCTTGTTCGGAGCTATGTTTTGAATTTGTGCTGAAAATAGCATTGATAACACACCAATGTTTTAGGTTTTGTTTACACAATGTCAAAACCTTTTCTGCTTCTCACCCTGCCCCACCAGCAGGTAGGCTGGAGGTGCAGGAGAAGCTGGGAGGGGGACACAGCCAGGACAGCTGACTCCAGCTGACCCCAGGGATATCCCATGCCATAGACATCATGCTCAGCAACAGAAGCTGGTGGAAGAAGGGAGAACATTCGGAGTGATGGCGTTTATCTTCCCAAGTGACCTTTAGCACGTGATGGAGCCCTGCTTCCCTGGAAATGGCTGAACACCTGCCTGCCAATGACACAGTCATTTAGGAAGGTAGAAGCCCTGGCTGGAAGAAACAATCAAAAAAGACTCCCTTGTATTCATTTTCACAAACTCCACAGTTATTATTTTATGTTCTATTTCACACTATTAGATGCAGTAAAGAAAGTCGGCACAAAGATGTTTATTTTGTCCAAGGTGGGAAAGCCAGGTGTAACAGGGGTGTTTTACCATCTATTCTAGCAAGGGTGAAAGACTCCGGAGCAACAACAAAACAAGAAATCTGAAATCTGAGTGTGCTTGTGTGAAAGACAGCATGAGGGAGAGAAGTATTCTTGAATGTGCAATAAAAAACACCCAACACTACTTGTCGAAAAATATTTTAATTTTAACAAAAGCCTAGCATCATCAGTTTCACACCAGAAATTATGGAATGACATGTAATGCATTCAGGTGTCCCCATGGAAAGGATCCAGTCCACACCAGAGGATCATTCGAGATTCCGCAATTGCTATGCTTTATATAAAAATGTTTTCCAATTTCATATTTAACGTCAGTGGTATCTGTTCAACATAAGTTGTTTCCATATTAAGTAATTTTCAAATAGTAGAACAGAATGTGTTTGTACAGTAACAAGTAACTTTTTCTCCCCTTGTGGAGAAGGAAAACTTAATAAGGTCAAAAATACTTTCACAAATCATTCCAGTATTTGAGAAAAGTAGTGATACAATAACGACATGAAGATGTAGAGATGATTTGATATGACGAATTCCACTATTCTATATATGAATTTACCTCTTAAGGAGTCTAAATTCTCAGATTCTTTACTCTGTCAATTAGGTAATATTTGCTCATTGTAAAATCAATTTAAGGGTTCATAATCCTTTTTGGATTGGGAACCTAGCACATGGGTGATGAGAGGATGTAAAAAGATGTTTATTTTTTTGTGGTTGCGTGTGACTTACTTTAACAGAGAATTAATTATGCACACCTTTCACTAATTTTCATTCTCTACAAGTCATGGATCATCTGTGTCATACTTTCTCATAAATTGCTTTGTTCTCAATTCAGGGTTACTAACACAAAATTGCTGTATAAGGCTTCCAAAACCAAAAATCTGCTCAGTTCTACTCTTGAGGGTAATAAAAGCTGTTACATTGCCACCTGATCACACTTACAAAGCTGAAGATTTCAGAATCCTAATCAGAAACCCTTCACAACATTCTCATTGAATTTACAAGCCACTACTCTTACACTACAGTCAGATACTTTAGGTATTACCACTCTGCTGCTTTTAAAGAATCAGGGCACATAACCACTGCCAGATGAGGAGTTACCAAGAACTTACCATGAGGTATACACACAGTTTGCATAAACACAATTATGTTCTATAGCACATTCAGTACAGGTAGCAAAACAGAAAAATGGCTCGAATGAGTGTATTATCATGCAAAGAAAATTCTTAACGGAATTTGGGAACTCAGCCTGTAATTTTCCATTGTAATGCAAACAATGCTTTCCATTCCACAGTCAGCTGAGCCATCCTGTAGTACTTCGCCATAAAGATCTAAACTAAACTGATATTAAAAGTAAAATAAAATTGGAGAGGGCTCGCAAACATATTATTTAACTAAGGCATCAAAAGGTTTAGAATTGGACTAATCTTTTAGATTCCTACAAACAGCCTTTCTGAATGAAGACTGTCTACAGACATCTTTCCAGAATCACATCCAGTAAGATTTAGTTATGATTATGTACAAAGGTTTTTGAGTATGACATGATTCAAGCTATGCTAGTTAGTGAAAATTTACATGTGCTTTAGAAGGGTTATACAAGCTCATTAACAATGCAAAATGGTTGATTTTTTTCATTATTAATTCAGCTCTACAATACGTAGGAAAAAAATAAATCTTTCATGAAACAAAGTAATTCATTTGTATATCAGCATCACCAAGGATCTTCTTCCACCTACAAGGAGTAAGAATAAGAGTGAAATCGAATGCGTGAGTTTTGACTGCACTAAAATGTATTTGAAAGTTTTGAAGATTTAGTTTTATGTAGACAATAGAACACTTTCTCTATACTTCAAGAGCATGATAGATTCAAAAGCAATTTTTTTTTTAAATATTAAGCACTATTGCAGCAATCTCATTCATACGGCTTCAAAAATGCTGAACAGTCTCACTACTTTTAACTACTAGACCAAAACATCATCTGTCTTGCAATTAATTCAAACAGAGGGCAGTGACCGTGCCAGCTCTATAGCAGTCCTTCCTCCCAAGAAACTGTCTTTAAGCTGAGGTTCAAGTGCAGTTAACCACAGATAGTTCTATCGATACTATCCTTGATATTGTTAAGCAGGCAGATCCTCTAATCAAACATATCTTATCATTTCAGACACTGCACCCAGCAGACTACTTAGGGGAAAAAAACATAAATATGTACAAAAAAATAGAGACAGGTAATATATATTGTTAGTAATAAGGAGAAGTTCCAAATACAGTGAGAGTTAAGCATGCAGAACTTAAATACTTACTCAGGCTTGACGTTGTAATATTCTTCTGGTGTCACAATCTTCAATCCACCAAAGTAGTCCAGGACCCAAATATTGGTGATGTTGAATTTGGCAAAGAACCAGTTATGATCCTTAGGCCAACTTTCCATTTCAGGGTGGCGACTGAACAATGCTTTTTTTGCTAAGTCTGCTTCTGAATCATTCACCTAAACAATAACGGGCAAAATATTACAACAGGATACAGTAACGTGAAGACAAATTTTAGCTAAAAAACACTGCTGACTGCAGTGTGCTCTTTTCAGTTTAGCCACGTCTTGTCCCAAAAGACTCATTACTGTGGCAGAGTTCACTCATCTTCAGTGTGGTGTACAACTGTACACGAGACAGGTAAAAACTCCAAGGTAGTTGATTTTAAGACTAAATCAAAAGAGTGCTTTCAAAGTAAGCATGAGTAAGAAGGTACTTCATCAACATGAAAATAAATCTTTCAACAAATCACAAAACAGAGAAGTATGGATTCTCGCTGGATTATTTCAATGCAACGTTTTAGGTATAATTTTACCTCCTCTGCCCCTGCTCACTCTGACACAAACAGATCCAAACGTATTCAGAAGCATGCAAACACACACATACACACATGTAAATAGAATGATACAAGAGAAGGGAAACTGAAGTGTGTGACAGCACTTAATACACAATGTGGAAATACTTAAAGGGTTAAATCAATGAGTTAGAGCTCTGGGTATAGTACCAGAGGAACTACTCAAAATAAACAACTGCATTATTGATGACAAACTCATGAGAGCAATTAAAGGATTGCTGGAGTGTAATGTGCAAATATCTGAGGTGTGAAAACACCAAATAAGAATTCAGACTATCATATAAGAGAGTAATGATGATTAGTCCTCATCCTCAATCATTATCCTCAGTAATGGGATTAAGATCTTCAATGAATAACACGTGCAGATCTAAATTCCTTCTACAGGACACTAAAGTACTGGTACATGAAAGAATACTGCCCTGGCAGCAACGCCATCAGGTAATACAATGCACTTTTTCTGTCTCTAACACCTGTAACTTCATAGCTGAGGTTAATATTTACTTCAGTAAAGTTTTAGAAGAGCGTATGTCACACTGCATGGACCAAAGAATTTAACTGAGCAAAACAGACGGAAAAACCTTCACACTTCTTTCACAAGAGAATTGTCTTAGACTTCTCAGTTTCAAAACAGGTCTAGAGGAATGGAGGAGATTTCCTTCATTACAGTATTGTCCTCCTAAGTTCCTTCCTGAAGACATGCCAACATAGCTCCTGCAAAAATCAGGTGGTAACTTCATTTTTCTCACACAAACTATAAGCTTTGTGATACTTTTTCCAGTATCACAGCACATAACAGCTCTTCGTACACTTTCTGTACAGAAATTCTAACCTTTCTCTTCTCCATCCCCTAATATTTGATGCACGCAATATTGTCCAGTGTCAACTTTCAGCTGCTTACCTTCACAATACTCCCACAGAAGATTACATGGGCACAGAGGGGATCCTGAGGATCATATCTGTGCTTCTTGCAGTAAGGAGTCTGTGCCAAAGACACAGTTAAGGAGGCATTTGAATTGATCTGAAATGCAAGCAGTAAGATAAGAGGTTTACATACTTTTGTGAGAAGAATGTCATATCCAATCTATTTTCAGTTTTATTCAGCTCAGTATTACTGGTAAAAAAAGCAAAGCTGCCATCATCTTTTCCTAAGTACATCTGAAAGCCTACTTAGATGAGCTCTGAATCTGAAAGAAATCCCAGTTTAGAAGTGTGCTGAAGTTTCTTAGCATGAAACGCAAACTTCACAAAAACCCCAGCACTCCTTAGAACTCTGAATTCAATACACAGTCTAGCTATTTCACATTCAAATGATGACATATTTCAAGTTACATACATACAGGGCAGTACAGAAGACAAGGAAATACAGCCAACTTCATTAAGTTAATTCTGGTAGAAGGACAAAGTGTTACTGAAAGGTAATCAGCTGAGTTTCACAACTGTTGATAAAATTAGTTAAAAGTACACAAGCAACACCTCCATCAAAACAAGCCTCCTGTCTGGCCCCAAACTGGTCAGCTCTTTTGAAGTTTAAAGTGAATTTTAGAAATTAGGTTTAAAAAATCCTGAGTATTTTAGTAAGACACCTAACTTTAAGAATTAACGAATCTGTATCCCATCGTTTTTCTAAAACCGATTTGGTGAACACAGCTTGAAAATTATTGGTGCCAAACAGGATTGCCTACCGCAGAACGTCACATACTAAAGTTCCTTATTTCCCAGTGGTTCATATGTTCTGAGAAATTTTAATAAAAGAGCTCATCTCAAAAAGAAACCCCAAAAAGTCACTTAAACACTACGCAGAGTACCACTGAACTGAAGAAGCAGGAGCAACCACCTGACAGACAGGAAGTTGCTTAACTACAAAACAGCTGACTCATGATTATTCAGCACTATCTCCTGCCAGACCTCTCCCTCACACGTGACTATCAGAGTCACAGCAGAATAAGGATCTGCTGGGCAGCCTTCTGAAGGAAAATGTTCATTAGCAATTTCTACCATGATTTTTATGTTATTGTGAACACAAAAGGCTGTACATAGGGTGGAGAAGGAGATACTAGAAAAGATAAATTAGGCTTTCTGCAGCACTTAGATAAACTATTTTAATGTAACAAACTAAAACCTGACAGGGAACAAACAAAAAAGGTTTACAGTAAAACAAAGTCTGAAAAAACGTATATTCTTTAAATTTTGTGTTTATTTGTTTTACCAGTATGGTAATAGTCACTAGAACAAAAAGGCTCTCTTTAATAAAGGACACAAACGATCACTATTTCCTTAACTTTTTAGCCAACTCTCTCTTGACCACAGCCAAGAAAAGAGCTGAGACACGGCCGATGGCACACACTCGCAGCCTCAGCATGCCAGTCTGCTGCCTTTTGTTGCACCCTTGCCTTTACCGTCCTTTTGACATTTACCGAGAAGTTCTCCCTGTCTAAATATTCCGTGGCCCCCGATTTCTCTGGTCAGTGCTTCTGGCAGCTTCAGCCACTTCCTCTCCCGGAGTGCCGCTTTGCAATTTTTCAGGCTATGATCAGCAGACAGGAGGACTACTGAGCGTCAACACAGAGAGCACTGCTTTAAGTGGTCATGTTCAAGGACTAGTAGCTGTCCCTAGGACTCACAAGCAAGGTGACAGCCACGTAACAGCCAGCTAGCATGTTACCTTTGGAAAACGCTGGTGTAAATCCCAATTCCTACAAAAGAAATCCCAACCACCACTTGCTACCAAGATGGAAAAGCGCAGGCCACCAAGAAAAACACGACATTGCATTAGTAACCCATACGCTTATAAGTTTTAAGCCTCCTTCACTGGGATCGCTCTTTGCGTCTGCGGTTTGCACGCACCAGCGCCAGAGCTGATTTATCGCCGGTACGCCCCCCCGGCCCCCGCGCCGGCTGTGGGGCGAAACTCTGCCTGCGCTCGCTCACCTCCAGGTCCTGTACGGAGATCTCCATGTCGGTCAGGTAAAGGTAGGGGACGCCGCTGCCGCCGAACGGCCCG